CTGGAGGCCTCTTCTTTTCACCCCTCTTCCCTGTAAGCAGCCCCTCCCTGCCGCACCACCCGACGTGTCTGTGAGGCGTGCTGGGCGCTTCGGCTCAGACGGATTGCCTTGCATGTCGCTACCCCGAGCAGGAAGATGTGGACCAGCTCCACGGATGGAGGCCCGCACACCGTCAAAATGTGGCTCCGCCTTGCATGTCACTGCCCTGGACAGAGATTATCTGCACCAGCTGCAGGGATGGAGGCCGGCACGTCTTCAGGACGCGGCTCTCGCCGTCACGCCGCGCACATCCGCCTTGGATGTCTCCAGCAGTCACACACACAAGAGGTTCCCAAGAGGCCCCAAGAGGCCCGCAAGAGGTACCCAGAGAGCCCGAAGAGGCCCCCAAGAGGCTCCCGAGAGGCCCCCAAGAGGCTCCCAGGAGGCTCAAAACTCATCCCCAGAGGCCCCCGAGAGACTTCCGAAGAGACCCCAAGAAGCATCCCTGACGACTCTGGCCCACGTCAGCGTCGTCGTCGTTGCCGCCGCCGCCGTTGTCGTCGTCGCCGTCGTCTCCTTTCAGGGTCGGCGGCACCGGCCGTAATGCCTTCGCAATATGGCTCTCGCCGTCACGCCGCGCACGTCCGTCTGGAACGTCTCCAGCAATCACACACATACGGAGACGCACGGAAGGCGGCTCCTTTTCGGCATGGGGCTCTCCCCCGTGCTGCTATGCATCGAGGGCCAGTCGTGAACTCGCCCAGCGAGGACATGCGCGGAGGGCGGTTCCTTGTCAGCATGGGGTCCTCCCATGCTATACAATGCATGTGGCCGCAAGCGTAAACTCGCCCAGCAAGGACATGCATGTGGAGGGCGATTCCTCTCCAAGATGGGGCTCTCTCGCCTAAGACTCCGCTCGACGAGTGCCCAGCGTAAACATAAACTTTTGGCGCTCCGCGCAGATTTCTTGGATCTGCGCTGGACCTCCCTCCCCAGCGCGCGGAGCGCGCCAGGGGCGGCGCCGGAGGCGCCGCCAGTGTGCCCCAGCGCAGATCCAAGAAGTCCGCGCGGAACGCCAAAAGTTCATGTTCATAGCTGCTTTTCCTCTTCGACGCCATGGAAGGCCATCCCTCCTTCAAGCCTGGGGGGATCTCGCCGGGGACTTCGCCGGGGGTCTCCTGCCCCGCGGAGCGACCGTGCACCAGGAGCTGCTGCACGGACGGAGGGCGGGCCCTTCTCTCTCGGCGCGGGGCTGTCGCTGGGCACGGCCTCGGCCTGGGCAGCCCCATCTTCTTGTCTGTTGATGTCGTTGTGTGTGCTGTGCTGCTTAGGTCGGCTCGAAGGATTGGCGGGTCGAAGGCTCGAGGGATTCTCGAAGGGTCGGAGGGCTGTCGGCTCGAAGGGCTGGCGGATTGGCTGCTCGCAGGACTGACGTCTCGACGACTCCTCGATGGATCGAAGGCGGCTTCTTCCGAAGCGGAGCTCCCGCCGGGGCGAGCCCATGGGGCGCCCCCTTCTTTCTGTGCGGGCGCTTCGCGCCGTGAGGAACACGGTGCCTGCGCGGACTTAGTGAGGAGGGGACTCGGTCGGGAGGGTGTGCTGCAGCATCGCTGATACATCTTAGGCTTACGCTGGCCTCTCCTCCTCCTCCTCCTCCTCCTCCTCCTCGTCCTCGTCCTCCTCCTCCTCCTCCTCCTCCTCCTCGTCCTCGTCCTTCTATTTTGCGAGGTCTGCTCCAGCGATCGTCCGATCTGCCAGGGCGAGGGTTCCCATGCCTTCGCGCATGATTGGATGTGTCCCTGTCTCTTTCTCTTTCCTCGTCCTCTACACCTCTATCCCTCCTCCCCCCTTCATAAAAATACAAAACAACACGAAAGGACATGTTTTGGCAACGCTCGTCCTCTGGGGTACCTGGGACCGCAAAACTCGACTCACGATAGGATCCGGCTCGCGGGTTACAGACCTCTCGGGAGCCACGTTGCGAAACATCAGCTCGGATGTCTGGGGTGAGGAGGGTGGGGGAGGAGGGGAAGGACAAGGGGGGGTTGCTGGTGATGACGATGGCGGTGAATACGATTCTGATCATGGTGGTGCTGGCAACGATTGTTTGAGACGGACAATCATCGTGTGGGGAAGGAGGGGTTGGGAGGGTACGGGGCATGAGCAATAGCATCCGGATGCAATGAACAATGCCGTCGGCCGCCTGCGTCTGGCGAAAGGGAGACGTGTTGCCGCCGCAACGCATTGGCCGCCCATCTAACCCCGAGCAGGCTTCCCAAGGAGCGGATTGCAACCTGCAGCCCACCTCGTGGCCCTCTTGCGGCCATGTTGGTACCGTGGGAACTTCCCAGCCAATAAAATTGCACCTTGCAGCCTTCTTCGTGGCCCTCTCGGAACCCCGTGGGAACCCAGTCGAGGCCGTCGGGGGGCCGTCCAAGAACCCTCTTGCCTGTGCTCTGGGCCCTCTCGGAGCCATCTCGGACCATAGCAAGTGTTGGAGCGACGCGACGAGCGCTGGGGGGGCAATTGCCCAGTGAATGGTGCATTTTGCATCGGGTTCCGTCTTGCGATCAATTGCTGATGCGGAGTTTACTGGGATAATTTGTCCCCATGGTTGAGGGACCGCGGCAGGTTCCGTACTGCGTTCCGTTCCTGATACGGAAGTGATACGGGCGGAATAATGAATTCCGTTTTGTGCCCCGGTCGTGGTACCGAATAACTGCAGCATTGGTCCGCTTCACGTTGTCATGGGTGTCACCACGATTTCTGCATGAGACGTCGGCATTCGCGGTGTAGCATCGTTGCCGATCGGACCCCGTAGGTCATGCCAGACTAGACTGACCTAGCCCGTGATGCACAGACCAGGGCTCATCAGGAGAAACTGCTAACGATGTAGGAGAGACGCGTGAGTGCGACGAGCGGGAACGTCGTTTCCAGCGAGATGGAAGCGAAGAACCCGATGACTAAGTTCCAATAAAAGTAACAGCACAATCGGCAGGCAATCCAATATCCAGAGGATTTGGGGGATGCGATGGCCAATGGTAGCGTATATGATCTTGTAACAATTCCTGCAGCATGCGCGATCAAAATTATGATAGCATCATTTCTCCCAACCGCATCCTTTTCCATTCTGATTGTTGTGAAGTTAAGGAGGAGGAGCAGGAGGAGAAGGACGAGGAGGAGGAGGAGGAGGAGGAGGAGGAGGAGGAGGAGGAGGAGTGTGGGGAGAAAGGTCGTCGCCGCCGCCGTAGCCTTGGCCCCAGACACCCGACGATGGGATGTTGCTCCATGCGCGGCCAAGCGTCGCGCCTCTCCCCCGGGGGGAGTCTTACGCCCCGGATCGATGTTTGACAGCCCCACGCAGGGCCCGACAAGGCGCCCCGGAGGCCGAGATCCAGGAGAACCGCCCGGGCTGAAAAGAACACATCGCCCCGGACATCTGGGACCGTGGCTGCCGCCGTCGTCGCCACAAGCTCTGACTTTCCTTCTGCAGGCCCGGGGGGACCCCAGAAGCCTGGACCCGAGCGGGGCATCGACGACAGACTTGCTTTGCCACAGCTTCTGTTTTCGCCGAGGATGCTGGCAGCTTCCGCCGAGGATGTTCGCAGATCTGTTGGAACTAGGCGCAAGCTTTCTAAATTCGAAAGAACTTTCCGGGGAGAACTCAATTCCTTAGTCGCTGTCCTGTTTGATGGACCCCTTCGTGGGGACCTGTTTGTCAGCCCGAGCCGTTTTTGACAGTCCCTGGGCTCGGCGAGGCGGTCCCTGGGCTCGGCGAGGGCCCCTAGAGGCCGAGCAACGCGGAAAGGTATGGGGCTGTTGCCGTCGATCCCCTGAGGGGTGGGGTGGGGGTTGACGACGGACCTTTCTCCACATCCCTCCTCCTCCTTCTCCTCCCCCATCATGAGGCTCTGGGGCTGTCGTCGTCGTCCCCTGAAGTCCGACGTTGCGAGAAAATTCCAACATAGTGAGAAATCGCGAGCAGAGCCCTAGACCCAGTCTTCCTGCGCCATTTTTTCGAGCCGATCGACCTGCGAGGCTCCCGGGGCCCAACAAGGCAACATCCCCCGCTGCGAAATCCTGTTTCCGCAGAAAACAGCATCAACGCGGAGTTCGCTCGCGCATGCGCTGTCCGCAGCACGAGCCAAGTGGAAAGCGATACTGAAGCAGATCCGCCAGCCCGGTCGAGACGGGCGAAGAACGACGCTGCACCATGCAGCGCTGCGAAACGCTTGCAACGCCAAGATCTCAGGGTCGTCCCGTCGGCTACACGCAAGAGCGCCCCTGGGTAATGAGCGACCTTTGGTGCGCGGTTTAGCGGGGGCCGCCGGGGGGCAAGCCGCCGCTGCCGCCCCGCACTCGGCGAATTTCGGCTCTTGCGGGGCCCCACTGGGCCCGCACCAAAGGTCACTCTGGCCAACCCCGAGATCCGCGCTGCAAGAAACTTGCAACATCGCAGACAATCCCGCCCGGACCCCCAGACCCCATCTTGCTGCGTCATTCTTCGACGGATCGATGTGAGGGTCCCAGGGCCCAGAATCGAGCGAAAACGCCCGCTGTGACAAAATTGCAACGCCAGGATCTCAGGGAAGGGTCACTCTTACGTGCAACTGATGGGGAAAACAACAAGAACCGATACCGCTACTCCCCGGACCTCTCCCAGGAAGCGTTCTGACCAGAATCTCGAGGCGAATCCAGCAGTGGCGACGAGGGCCTCCGGGAAGGCCCAAAACGGAGAGAAAACGAGGAAAGGGTAGAGGCATGGGTACCTTTTCCTCCTCTAAACCCCAGACCCCCCGACGTCATGATTTTTTCATGACGTCGACCAGTCTCGACCCATTCCCCAGGACCGGTTTTTCGTCCTGAATCGTCTTTTGAAGGTCCCGACCCCTGGAAGACCGAAAACAGACGAAGAGGGCCCCCACGAAGGCCCAAAATAGCGAAGAACCTCCCGCCGTGACTTTTCCATGCCTCGAGGGGGTCGGGGCACGTGCAGCTGATCCCCTTCCCCGGAGCACCGC